AAAAGGACGTGTTTTTCTCTGTTTCTAGAGGGTTTCAAACGCCCTGTCAGGCCCCCGCTGTGGCGGAATCGGCTTTCTGTTATACACGTGAAAAAGACGTGTTTTTCTCTGTGTCTAGAGGGTTTCAAAAGCCCAGTTAGGCCCCCGCTGTGGCGGAATCGGCCCACGTGAAAAACCTGAAGCATCCTTTGTAGCACTTATTTCTGGCGAACCATGGTTTGGAGCACTTATTGGAAGTTTGAGCGTTAATTGAGGGTATGTACGCTTTTCAGGACATATGAGCGCTTTTTGGTGATGTAAATTCCAAAGCCTACTGGTTCCTGACCAGTGTCCTTGTCAATCCTTGTGGGCCTTTGCGGGCCCTATGGACCGGGTGGAAATCCTATATGACCTCCTACTAGTAGTATGTGCAAATGAAACCACAAAGGTTTGGTTCCAACCTTCTGGGCGTGCTTTACAACAATTTTTCCAAAAAGGGTGCCCGCAACTTGGGCGCAAATTCCCGCAACCCGGGCGCAAATTCCCGCAACCCGGGCGCAATTTTAAAAAGTGGCGGATTGTTATTTTACTTACTGTAAATATTTTATGTTGATACTGATGATCAAAGAAAGGGGTTGCTGGCTGCCGCTTCGTAGTGTGTGAGCGTGTGTTGTGTGTGCATGGGATGGGTGCCAGCATGTGGCCGGGGAATGGACTTGAAGACCACATAAGGTGGAATGAAGCTACATCTGACTTTCCAGTGGTACGCTTTTTCAAGGCATGAACACTTTTTTTGATGATGTGCAGTTTTTTTTCTGTCACTTTTTTCTGCTACGACGGAGGGTTCAGGAAGACATGTTTTTGTCTGTTGCTTGAAGGTTTCAGACGCCCTGTTAGGTCCCCCGCTGTGGCGGAATCGGCGTTCTCTGGCGTTTTCGGTGCCAGTTACACGTGAAAAAGACGTGTTTTTCTCAGTTTCTAGAGGGTTTCAAACGCCCTGTTAGGCCCCCGCTGTGGCGGA